ACACTAAAAAATAAAATATATTCTTAAAAATAAATCAAATGAAAATAAAATGTAAAATTTTAAATTAAAGTAAAATAGCTTTTTACAATTCAGTATAATTTGTTACATTATAATGTACCCATTTAACTCTTATACAGTTGAAGTCAATATTGTTACCCCCCCCCCCTCTTTTATTTATTTATTTATTATTAATAATACATATTTTTTATTATTATTTTTTACTAATATTTCCCAAAATGGTGTTTAACACAGCAAGGAAATTTCACAGTATGTCTGATAATATTTTTTTCTTCTGGAGAAAGTCTTGTTTTATTTCAGCTAGAATAAGAGCAGTTTTTAAATTTTTTAAAATCATTTTAATGTCAAAATGATTAGCCCCTTTAAAGTTAATTTTTCCCCCCAAAAGTCAACAGAACAAACCATCGTAATACTATAACTTGCCTAATTATCCTAAACTGCCTAGTTAACCTAATTAACCTAGCTAAGTTAAGTGTCACTTTAAGTCACTTTATAGAAGTGTCTTGTATCTAGTATATCTAGTAAAATATTATTTACTGTCATTGCAAAGATAACAGAAATCAGTTGTTAGATGTGGTGAAAAAATCTTTTCTCTGTTGGCGGACATTTTTTGTTATTTCTGCGGAGAATTTTGTAAAATCTGTGGATCTTTGCGGAATGATTTGGTATTGTTTAGTAAACAAACAGAGTCTTTCATATAATATATCAACTAAAAGACTTTACAAACTGTATGGTAAATCCATCATATGAACTTTTTAATATTACTACTATTATATCACAATAATATGAAATTCATTTGAAAATAGAATAAATATAAATTTACACACCAACCACAAGTAAATACATAGACTCAATGATGGGCTAAAAATCTGCGGAAATCTGTAGATTTCTGTGTGCGCAGATTCCTTGTGGGCTTACAGTACATATGAGCACAGGTGTCAAACAAATTCCAAGAAATAACATTCAGAAAAAAGTAGGCTATCTATTGATAAAACGAATGAACACATTCTATACATGCCATGCTGACAAAGTCACTCCCTCCAATCAATACTTGATGACTTAAAAGGCACATTTCCAAGGAAACCCTGACATTCTTAACAGTGACAAATAGAAAGCACTTCTGCATCCCTTAAACATATCTGTTAGTCTCCATCTGTTCTAAAGTGCATAAAACTAGGGCTAACTCACATTCTCAAAGCTTAGTTTTTTTTTTAATATATATATATAAATATCTTATTCATATCTCTATAAGCACCGGTCATGATAAATGGCTCATCTGTAACAATGGGGTCACAGCGAGCCCTCCAAATGCCCATCAAATAGTTTTCCATATCAAGATGACTTAATGCTCAATCTCCTGACGGGAAGGTCAAGTAGAACTGAGAAGGCCAATACGAGACAAGCAGCAGCTAATCTGCCTGATAATAATGCCTGAATAAAGTCACAAAGCATTTCCTCTTACATTAAAAAGTGACATTTCATATTAAAATATCAAGTTGCACTTTCATAAGGATTTAATAATATTTTTATTTTTTTTCTGTTTATGGATGACATTTTGTCATTTTTCCTCTTCTAGCATGCAAAAATCAATTAAGATGTCAACGATAACCTTGAACCAACTCACAGCCGTCTCATGTTGAAAAACACCTTCATGTTTTCCATTATATTTGATTAAGTCACCTTAAGCCATCATCAGATTGAAACAGATGTTATCAAAAAGATGGCATCTTACTGTCTCTGGAGTCCCCATCTTTAGTCTGATCTTCGGCCCTGAACTGGACATGAGCTCCATAATGGCATTAATATAGTCGAATAAACCCGGTGATGAGGGACTTATGAAAGCTCATAAATAAGTCTGCTCAAGGTAAACCCATAAACCAAATCACTAGGTCATAATCACATAGAGTTGTACATATGCAATGCACAAACTATGCGGCCCAAAAGGACCTCTGAGGAAACAGCCTTCATCGCGGCCTTGGTGTAAAAATAGATGTAAGCAGCAAAAAGATGATCTTAGTCAACTCCCAGCAGTCACAGAAGATCATGGAAATGACTGAGGTATGGGAGAATGGGGACTTAAGTAGAATAATTTTTCATTAAAAAAAATCTATTTTCAAAAGATAATGTTTTAGACTAAATTTATTTTGGCTATCAATATCAGGTGGTATTTTGTACAAATGTTGAACAACTTCAGAATGATTTCACTGTAAACATAGACTGCATATTGTTACTTTTGAAATGAGACACAGGAGTGGGTCTAAAGTAACAGAAAATGTCTGCTATATTTATTGACTTGTTAGATCTTGTTTATTTTGAAGATATCTGACTATGACCTAGTTAATATGTTTACCACAAACGTATTTAATTTATCTTTACAAAAAATATTAAACTGAATTTTCATTTAAAATTTCAGTTCCAAATAAAAAATGTTTCAAAAATCACCCACCAATGCAAAAAATGTTATTATTTAGAATATTTTTTTATTATCTGCAATATGCATGAATTTGTTTCCTAATAAGGATTTGTGTATTAGAAATTTTCGTATTTTATTACTGCATTCTATTATTTTTTATTATTTATATTTATTGGCATTATTATTAGTTTTGGTGGATATCCCATTTAGGATGCATCTGCAATGTCCAGAGAGTTTGTATAAATGTTACCATTAATTTGGTTCCATTTGTGAGCTAATATAGTGTTAATGGTTTGGTACAATAGGCACATAATATCTGCTCTGTGTAATGCATTGCACCAACTGCGACTTGAAATTGAAATTACTATATTATTGGTCTATTGGTCTCATTCAGACATTGACCTGAACTTCTAACACTAGCACTTTCTAATGTATATACTATCTGAGCAGATTTTAAGTCAAAATGTTGTTCATCTATTTTCTGCATATATTAAAATCAATCTGAGGAGCAATGAAGTGCAGAGTCTGATTCAGTCTGTTGTGGAAAAGCAGATGCTGACAATTGTATGAGTGATAACTGGCAGAATATCTACATGCTATTAGAGTGTGAATAATGGGGATCTTAATAACCATCCACATCAATATGTATTATCATAGCCTACCCTTTAAACAACATGAACAGCTGAATTAGAATCCCAGCTAATAATAATAATAATAATAATAATAATAATAAGCATTAAATCATTGGATCAGTAGGATTTCTGAAAGATCATGTCAAAGCCTGGAAAATTCAGCTTTACCATTTTAAAAATACATTTCAATAGATCACATAAATAATATTTGAAAACAGAAAGCATGTAAATGTTATGTATTTATTCATTCATTTATTTATTTAGAAGCAGTATGATAAGCAAGAAAAAAGCAACAAACAATTTTAAGTAGTAGTCTAATGCAATAGTGCAATTCAGCAAATAAAGCAGGACTAGTGAGTCTACTGAATATTAATATTAAATTATTATTCAGCATAATTAATATTCATGAAGCCACACTGTTAATATTCAGAATCCAGAGGTCATTTATTTTAAAATAGTGTTTTCAAATTGTGCTTACCCTCCTGATCACAAAAATGTTAAAAGATATGGGGGAAAATGAATAAGGGCAGAATACAAAAAAAAAGTTTAGATATGTTTTAGATATAGGGTAATGTGTCAATTTATCTATTAATTAACACATTCATATGTTTTATTTACATCAGATTTAGTACTGCTGAATAAATGTGTTGTTCATTGAAACAATGTTATCTAATCAATGAACAAATACATTAATGTATGTGTATCCATTAACTAATGAGGCTGTTAAAGTAAAGAGGTGCATTAGAACAGTGTTTCTCAACTATGTTCATGGAGGACCACCAACACATGTTTTGGATGTCTCCCTTGTCTGTCACACCCATTACAGATCTTTCAATCTGTGCTAATGAGCTGATGATCTGAATCAGGTGTGTTTGGTAAAGGAGACATAGGAGACATGCAGAGTTGGTGATCCTCCAGGAACGTGATTGATAAAAACCCTGCATTTGAACATGAGCAAGTTGAGATTAACCAAGATAATGTAGTGCTTACAGAGCAAGTTGAGATTAACCAAGATAATGTAGTGCTTACAGAGCAAGTTGAGATTAACCAAGATAATGTAGTGCTTAGCAGATGTTAATAATCCTTTTGCATTATTTATCTCTATGCATTAACTAATGCATTAACTAACATTAACTTGTTAGTGTTGAAAAGTGTTACCAGGTTTAGAGATTAGTTTAGGACGGACGGTTGGACGGATGGATGGATGGATGAATGGACTGGGACAGATGGATGGATTGAATTGGGATGGATGAATGAATGGGGTTGAATGGAGGAAAGGATGGATGGATGGATGGATGGATGGATGGATGGGGACAAATAGATGGACGGATTGGGTTGGATGGATGGATTGGGATGGATGGATGGATAGGATTGGGATGGATACATAGATTGGGATGTTGTATGGATGGATGGATCGATCGACCAATGGGATTGAATGGATGGATTAAGATGGAAGGATGGATTGGACTGGGATGGATGAAAGAATCGGGTTGGATTGGGACAGATGGATGGATTGGGATGATGGATGGATGAATGGATGGATGGATGGATGGATGGATGGATGGATGGATGGATGGATGGATGGATAGATGGATGGATGGATGGATGGATTGATGGATTGGTACGGATGGATGGATTGGATTGGGGTGGATGGATAGGGTGAAGGATGGATGGATGGATGGATAAATGAATTGGCATGTGAAATGGATGGACGGGAATATAGAATAGAGCATTTTAGTAACCGGATAAAATAAAAAAATAAAGGTTTATAGACTAATTTTGAAAAAGATTAAATTTAAGACTCAGTCAACAGCGGTCAAGGCAGAAGCAATCAAAATAAAAAAATAAATACCAATAACATTTACACCCAGCTGAACACTTATTTACACAACAGAACAAAAAAAAAATGAATGAATAAATATAAAATTCATTCTTACCACTGAGTGTTCTGGGACGGTTGTGACACGCCACACTCCCTCCAAATAATGCTGTGCGTGTAGAGGTAGAGGTGTGACAGTGGCCAGACAGGAGCGTTTGCCACCTACTTTGACCGCTCCATCTTGATTCTCCGGGCCACATGGTCGCCTGCTGAGGCTTTGACTGCCAACGGCTGGAGGACATAGCGTGGGCCAGTCCCAGGATGGATAGGGTGATATGGAGCTGTGAGAGGCCACGCGTGGAGGCAGAAGGCCAGTGAGGGGTCCAGGCTGCAGGTCAGGCATGTTGTCGAATGGCAGCCCGAGGGCCGAGTGCAGTGCCAGGCACCTCAGGTGGTAAAGCGACGTCCCACACACTTCACAGCTGCTCTGGGCACTGCAGACCCGCCGAGGCCATTCCTGAGACTGGAGCTCGTCGAGGAGAAACGCTGCAAAACTCGGGTCCTGAAATAAAAGGCAGAAAGTTCAATGAAACAAGAAAATATATATACAGTTGAAGAATTATTAGCCCCCACCCTGTTTATTCACATTCTTGTTTGATGGAGAGATTTTTTCAACACATTTCTAAACATAATAGTTTTAATAACTCATCTCTAATAACTGATTTATTTTATCTTTGCCATGATGACAGTAAATAATATTTGATTAGATATTTTTCAAGACACTTATATACAGCTTAGTGACATTTAAAGGCTTAACTAGGTTAATTAGGTTAACTAAGCAGGTTAGGGTAATTAGGTACGTTATTGTATAATGATGGTTTGTTCTGTAGAATATCGAGAAAAAAAATTCTCAAAGGGGCTAATAACTTTGTTCTTAAAATGGTGGTTAAAAAATTAAAAACTGCTTTTATTCTAACCGAAATAAAACAAATAAGACTTTCTTCTTCAGAAGAAAATATTATCAGAAAAATGTAAAAATGTAAAAAATCTGTAAAAATTTCCTTGCTCTGTTAAACATCATTTGGGAAATATTTAAAAAAGAAAAGAAAATTCGAAGGGTGGCTAATAATTCTGACTTTAACTGTATATATTATACGCATTTTTGCTTTACTGTGATTTGTTATTTTTACAATTTTAATATTACTAAATGATTCCTATTATGATAGAACATATGGATGTGTGTTTTTCCATAGCTAACCTTTGACCCACGTATTAAATGTGCCTTCTGTCTTACACTCTTGGTCAGTCATATGTAGTTGGTCATATGCGTACTGAATCATGTGATGGTATTTTGGTTTTTAAGAAAGTAAAAAAGAGAACAATGACAAAACTGTTAAGTGCCAAGAAAAACATCATATGACACAAGAACTGTAAGTATTCTTACATGATGTACAGTACATACTGAATGCATCTGATTGTTAAATATCCACTAGAAAGAGGGATTTTCCACACACACACAATAAAAAAAGTTGTGGTTTTGAGAGATTTGGCAGACTCGAGAAGAATCCAGATAATGTGTCCTTTATTGCTCCAGTAATAAGTTTGTGGCATAGCCAGAAACTCTCTTTTTTGAATACTGAAAGCATTTTGCCATGACAGCAGTTATTAACATAAGTTATCGACATAAGCTATTTTTCCAGTTAAGATTTTGTTTTAACAAAAATTACAAAAAAAAATCTAGAATTTTCTGATTTCAACATTGCCACTTTTCCGGTTCCAGCCCACAATAAGATATATTTAGACGAAAATAAGGTAAACATTTGCTCCTTGTAAAAAACATTCAAATCAAAGCTCTCTCTCTCTCTCTTTCTTTATGCAACATTTTGTGTTGATGTAATCCAGTCTGATTTCAAATGTACATCAAACATACAGTCAGTGAAACACCACTTCCCAAAATCCAATCTAGCCAAAGAGCAGAAAAAGAAATGTGTCTGCTATAACACCAGAGATGGACAATTTAATCTTAATTTAAGTCAGGATTACCGCAGGAGAGACTGAAAACAACAAATACTATTGAACTGTTGAAGGCTAAGTTATTAGCCCTCCTGTGAAATCTTTTGTATTTTTTTAATATTTCCCAAGTGATGTTAAACAAAACATGGAATTTTTCCTATAAATACAACATTTCCTATTATATTTTTCTTTTGGAAAATGTATCATTTCTTTTATTGTTTGGCTGTAGTAGACAATAATTAGCAAATGATGAAGTGATAGGAACAACAATACAGTATATTAACCATTTTAAGATTATTTTCCAATTGATTTGCCTAATTATCCTAACTTACCTTATTAGCCTAACTAACTTAAGCCTTTAAATTTTATTTTAAACGGAATACTAGTATCTTGCAAAATAACGAGTAAAATATTATTGTCATCATGGCAAAACAAAAGAAAATAGTTATTAAAGATTAGTAAATAAAACTACTGTTTTAAAAATTGTTGAATTAAAATTTCAAGAGCTAATAATTTTGTCTGAACTCTATGTTCAAACCAATGAAAATCTACATTTTATATTTATGTAGTTTGTTTACTAAGAAATAAATGTGAAAGTAGTGCTTTATTTTAACATGATTAAAAAGTAGATAAGCATGACAAACATGCATTTTTGATTTCTTATTATCTAACATTACAATAAATGTGACAAATTGAGCAGTCACAATCCATTCATGAAGCCAAAATCATATATTACAGAATTGTAGGTGTAATGTCCGAATTTGTTCACTTATTTTCCTTCTCTCTTTCTCTGATTTAGTCTACTCAATTGCAATACACTATGGTGAAGAAGTGAACTAGTGAGTGATTTTGGACACAGCTCTTGGTTCTGTTCATGGTGCATTCTGGTTAAATTAACAGACTGTAATTATATTTTCTAAGCTTGTGCGTAATTATTCTCCATTCACAAAGCAGAAGCTGGGCTTAGTTTGTACTTAATTCACTTGTCAATCAAGCACAACACAGTGTGATTTCATATACAATCCAGAGGCAGTGCACACACTGACATATAATTACAAGAATTTAACATGATATAAGCTATATACATAAAACGTTTCATGAAGTGATTCATGTTGAAAACCTGAAATGTTTCAACACTGAAATTGTGACAAAATTACTGTAAATAAAATTTTTATTTAAAAAAAGCTCACTCTCTGGGTTATTCTATTCTAACCTATTTTGGGGTAAAATATGCACAAAATTAACCACTGAAATATACTTACAGTAATTAACAGCAAATTCAGGAAAATATGGACCAACTCAAAGTTTGTTTAAAATAAGCCTGCATTATTTAGTGCATTTTAAATATTAACAAATGTTATAATATGATTACAATATATATTTAAATATATAGGATGAATAATTTAGACATTAAAGCAGTCCTACAACAAACATGTTATTATAGAACAGCCGTTTCAGTTCCGGCTGCATTTTTGGTTAAATGAACAGGCTGGTTATCATTTTTGAGGTTGTGCATAAATATTTTCTATTTACAAAGCAGAAGCTGGGATTCATTTGTAGTAGATTGGTCTGTCAATCACATGCAACCCAGTATGATTTTGATGCAGATGTGGTTCACTGGCATATAATCACCAGCATTTAACATGCTCTGAATTATGTAAATTTCATGTTTTATTAGGGGGGGGGGGGGTATTTTTATCTGTTATTCTTTACTCATACAATAATGATGTCTCTAAATATAGAATAGCAGCAAAATAAATATAAAGAGATGTTTAGTGAGAACATTTTTAAATAAAAAGCTAATTCAAAACATGAACAAATACTGTAATAGTATACAAATAATGTTAAAGAAATATTGGACAAATGAATAAGAAGCTAAAGCTAATTCACAACTGCTTAATATCAACTAGAAAAACCAGAGTTATTTTTTTAAATAATTATTTTTGTTTGTTTTCATATTCATTTAAAAGTTTTTGTCATTTATATTTACTTGCTTACTTATTTTTTTTATTATTGTTGTTGTTAAAATGTTTAAGTAAATAAATCAGTATTTCTTTAGCAGCAAGTAATACAGGTGTAGTAATATCAGTAGTACAGTAGATGTTGTTGATGTAGATGTAGTAGAAGTGATTGTAGTAGTAGTAGTAGTAGTCGCAGTAGACGTTGTTGTATTAGTTGTAGCAAACGCTATAGTAGTATCAGTAGTGGTAGTCGTTGTAGTAGTATCAGTATTAGTAGACACTTTAGTAGTAGTAGTCATGGTTGTGGCTGTAGTAGAAGCAGTAGTAGTTGTAATATAAGTAACTTTCTGTAGTAGTAGTTGGTGTAGCACTTGTGATTTATTATTATTGTTGTCAGTTATTACTGTTGTCCTTTCTCTCTTTTTACTCTCATATTTACTATCATACATTAATAAGCATTGTTGTTACTCCCTACCTCTGACTGGTTTCTTTCTATATGTTTTATCTATATCTGTGACACTTGCTTCTTTTATTGACTGTTATTGTTCCTAATGTATGTACTCTGACCTGTCCACCAAGTTACCTTTACATGCATACACACACTCACAAGCACACACTCACGCACATACCAGTACCTGACTATATTGTTGTTGTTTTTGTTTTGTTTTTGTTTCGTTGCTTTGTATTTGTTATTTGTTGATGTTTTCTTGTATTTGGATGATTTTTGCATTTTCTAATAAAAAAAAAAAAAAAAGTAATACAGTTGAAAGCAAAATTTGTTTTATTTTCAGTGGAATTTATATTATTCTTCAATTATTTCCCATGTGCTGTTAAATGGAGAAAAGATTTTCAACACAATTTTAATACAATTTTAGTTTTAATAACTGATTTATAATGAATGTTTTCTTTTGTCTATGCCATAGTGTAGTACATTGTCGTAGTACATAATGTTTTAGTAGTTATTTTGCAAGATACTAGTATTCAGCTTAAAGAGCAGTTTAAAGACTTAACTGCTTAATTAGACAGTCATTGTACAACAGTTGTTTGTTCTGTAGCTAAAGAGGTTTATAATATTGAGCGTTTAATTAAAAACTGTTTTATTGCAGCCAAACTAAAAAAAAAAAAACAGACTTTCTCCAGAAACCAGAAGAAAAAATATAATCGAAAATACTATGAAAATGTTCTTGCTTTGTTTAGCATAATTTGAACAAGAATTTAAATTTAGGAGGAAAATAAGATTGCTAATAATGCTAACAATGCTAATAACCTAATAAAATATGTTTGTAATAGATGTTCTTGGTTAATTTTTATTTTATTTGATCCAAAATACAAAACAATAAAAAAAAAAACATTTAGTATTAATTTTCACTTTTAGCTAACTAAAATAACCCTTTCTAAGCCCAAAATAAAATATATACAAAAATCAATATATATTTAGATGAAGATCTATAAATTAGGGTAAACTTTTGGTGAACTTGGCCAAATGAATGTCACTTCTAACAGCTGCTCCTTTTCAAAACCATAAAAATCAAAGCTCTCTCTACATGCAACATTGTAGCTTGATTTAAGGATTGTAATAAACTTATGC